TTGGACCTTTTTGGCGTTCTTTCATGAATAATTTTTTCATGACACATTTGTGATCTAGTCCACACTATTAGTTAATAAAATTACCTAAAACAAGCATTTCATTAACTCTCTATGTTAAACAACAAGGTTGAACATCGTCTCCAAGAGGCACAGCCGAAGCATTTTTTGATAAATGGTCACTTGAAGCTACATATACTGTATATATCTGTGATATCGGCCTACCAAAATCGTAGACTGATTAGTTCTTTCCCTAACCATTACCTCTCTTAAAGATATACCAATAATGATGTTCATTTTTACACAGGGATGTTAGCGTTCTATGAATGGATCCATCTTCGACGAACGAAAGAGATGAGAATCTGTTTCTGGGTAAAGGGTCTGTTCACAGGAAACTGTGGTAATTTTGACCTTTATAGTTCACTTTAAAACTGGAAGTGACTTTACTCCATTTTAATATCGTCTCAAGAAGAAAAAAATCTAAAAAGCATGCAATTCACCCTCTGTTGGCGCAGTGAGACAATTCCAAACTGTTAGACAAGTGTTAAAACGCACCAAAAAATAACACCTACTCTTAAGATATCGCCAGCCAAGGTTTTTCGAGATTAAAGGTATCCACAGATACTAACTAATATTTCTCACCTTGCGTTCACAAATATGTATTTTACCTTGTCTGTGGCAGAATTTTTCGCCACTTTTTCTGTTTTGTTTTGTTTGTGTGTTGCTTTTGTTTTGTTTTGTTTTGTTTTTATTTAGTTTTTTTTGTTTTTGCTTAATCATTTAGTACTAGGTGTCCCCTTCTGTGTTTCACGTTTGTTGTAATTATGTAATATGTACTCAGTCTATTTGACACAAAATGTTTATCACATAATATATTGGTTTGATTAGCCTCCCAGTATTTTATTACATGTGGATTTTTAATCGTCATTTTCATTAAATGACGTTTATTGAAAACACGGAAAAATTCTGTTGTCTTTGGCAAAAAAGCTAACATTAATTCATGATAAATACATCTTTATACATGTACATAAATTCTTCAAAGCACGATTTGATTTCATTGCATGAAGAAGCAATATAAAAATATAATTCAATATTCAGTCAAAAAAAAAAACATCAAATGAAGTAAGAATTTTAAGAGATGAAGACATTACACTGGTGTTTATGTTTGTTTTATTTGGTGGACTCTAATGATTGATATGAATAAAACATGACTAGTTTACGAATTTTCCTGTAGTTTATCCACCATATTCGGTTTAACATTGGTATCTTTTAGAATTCTTCGACAAATTTTTTAATGGGAGATTAAATCTACATATTGAATATGAACACTCTCAATAAATAAAATACGTCGTATAAAACCAAAGAAGACTTAGTGCTAATTATATCTATAAAAGGACTGAAAAAATCTGAAATAGGATAAATTTGATGAATTGGAGAGCTACCAATGCATACGCGCGCGATGTTTAATTTCTGAATTTTATCTTGTCATTTTGTTTCAAGTAAATTGTCTGAAAAAAATAGATCTCAAAGTTATTAAATGACTAATTGAATCACCCAGCTCTTGTTACTATATATATATATATATATATATATATATATATATATATATATATATATATATATATATATATATATATATATATATATATATATATATATCACAAACACTTCAGTTAAGCAACACATTTCTCTGAGCAATTTGTATGACTGATTTGGTTTTTATTACCATTGAGATTGTTATGTTACCAGATCAATATGACATTTACACTTTAAATCCCTTTTCAAAAGAGACGCGATAATGTATGTCGCTATTGTTATATGCCATTACTACATCCAAGGTCGGGGCGGGAAGATGGGGAGGGCGGTCATGTCAACTTTTGCTTTCCAAATTATTTCTACTTAGTACTACTGATACATGAAAAGCACACTCATGCTGAAAGTTATGATTTCATTTTAATATAATACACAAAAACAAATAAACATACATTCAAAAGCAAAATACACACACAAACACCCCCCACCCCCCCCCCACCCCCCCCGAATACAAACTTTTCAATCGCAAGTAATATCGTATGTTATTTCGAACTTGCATTCATCAGTTTCCATGGGAACAGCTTTGAATTTCATGCACAACTAAACTTTTGAAATTTTATTAAATTATGAAAATCACATGCGAGAACTTCTGCGGACAAGTTTAAGAACAATAGAAATGCATTTGGTTGGTCATACTAATATGCTTTTTACGTTGATTCGATTTCCCTTTGAACTCGAAATAAAAGACTCCGAATAGTCTGACACATTCTGCTTCATATTTGGATATTTTACTAGAGAAAGACATTGATAGCAAACTAACAACTAAAATGATAAACGTAATGACTTGAACTTTTCTAACGTCAACTTTCCTTATTCATGTAGCAATATACCACCATCACTTTCATATGGAGTTTGTTCACAAGTTAATTCAATACGCAAGAACATGTTCTACGTACTGACAATTGCTAAAACGAGGCAATCCATTGACAAATAAGTTGGTGATACAAAGATATCAGAAATCAATATTTTGCAAATTCTTTGGTTCAGACAATGACCTTGTTAGCAAATACATGTACAATCTATCGTTGTCGTTAAATCGAATGTTAATTGACGTTTTGCATACAAATTGTTAGGCCAATATTTTCACACTAAATTATCTGCGGGTTTTTCCGTTTACCCTATCATGACAAGGAGCACACGGCGGGTGTGACCGATCGATAGGGGATGCTTACTCCTTCTGACACCAGATCCCAACAGCTCTGATGTTTTCAGAGATCCGTGTTAGTTCTGCACACAATTTGCATTGTTTCAATGGACTTTCTGAGATTGAATACTGTTCTTTATCTTTTTATTACTTGTGTTAAATAGGTTATCAAAAACATGTAATCAAATTAAGATCATTGTATAAAATTTGCGGAGTAATGCAATTCCGAACTGGTACATAGCAAGTCCTACACGTATAATGATATCCATCCTTCTACTGAATCATGAAATATACATTTTTTTAGTGCATAAGTTCTTTTTCATGCACGAATTTTGATTTTGCAGGAAGCTTTTTTGTTTGTTTCTTTATTGTTTAACGTCCCTCTCGAGAATTTTTCACTCATATGGACACGCCACCACTTGCCGGTGGAGAGCTACAAATTTTGACCTACACTCGGCACTCAGGCCATTGAACAGTGAGGGATCTTTTTTGTGCCAGCACCTACTGCGACACGGGACCTCAGTTTATACGGTTTCATCCGAAGGACCGGTCTCCACGACCCACAGTGGGATTCGAACCCGCGACGTAAGGATCAACTCCTTACTCCGCGACTCAGAGCGAACGCTCTAACCACTGCGCCACGCGGGCGACTTTTGAAGGAAGCAGCAATTTAATAAGGATGAAGCAATTTAATAAGGTAGTACAAGCCTTTAAGTCTCTCGTGTGGTGCAGTGGTCAGAGAGTTTGCTCTAGAGTCGTGGAGTAAGGAGTTGATCCTTACGTCGCGGGTTCGAAACCTAGACGTAGAGATTGGTCCTTAGGATGAGATCGTATAAATCGAAGTCCCGTGTCGCAGTAGGTGTTGGCACAAAAAAGACCCCCTCACTGCTCAAAAGCCGTAAGTGTAGAGTACATGTCTAAATTTGCAGTCCTTCATCTGCAAGTGGTGGCCTCTCAATATAAGTGAAAAATTCCCGAAGGAATGTTAAACAAACAAACAAACAAACAAGCCTTTAGTCAGTGAAGAACAGTTTCATTAGAGTAAGAATTCTCAGAATAAATTGAGATGCTGCTTGGTGATTCTAGCGACTCCATAATTGGAATTATTCCATGAAAGATCTCGTATAAATTGAAAGACCTTATAATAATAGGTATTTGGAAATATTGTAAATATAGGAATTACACAAGTATTTGTTAATTAAGCAGTGCACATAAAAGCAGTTCTATAAACACAATTAATTTTCCAAGGTTTTAGTTGACAGACTACTAAGATTCTTAACAGCAACTTCTCTCTCACTCTTTCATTTAAAAAAAAAAGTTTTTAGAAAAAATGTTGATAGAAAAGAAAATATGCTTTGAAATGTAGCTTCACTCACCAAAGTACTGTAAAACCAATAATATTCTTACTAAAATTTACTTCCAAAATAAATAATTTTACAAATAAAAGATACCTCTATTCACTTTATTTTAAGTTATTTGATAAACGAAATCATAACAGTTGTTGTTTGATACTTTGGTCTCCGTGTTGCGTTTGCTGTCTTTTATGTTTGTTTTTATTAATGAAACTGGCTGTTGTTTGTTAATTTTTTCCTTATATCATTTTTTTTCATGCTTGTTTGGTTTCTTTTGTTGAGATAGGTTGTTGTGTTACTGTTGTATGCTTATGTCATTGTATGTGTATAAAATTTGTTCTGCTACCGCTGTATCTAATATTTTGTTGCTGATGTAGCAGAAACTGTCTTATTGTTGTTGTAGAAATTGCCAAATAAACTGTCGGGTATGTGCAAAAAAAAAAAAAAAAAAAAAAAAAAAAAAAAAAAATGAGGCGTCAATAATTAAAATCAAAATAATGATAATAAACAAAATTGTGTCAGAAATTGAATTCTCGGGAAAAATATTATTTGGAATAAATAAAATTCAGGCAAATTCTCTTAAAAATGGACATTTTGCTAGTTTTTTTCTCATTAAAATTGATTTTGTTTATGAAATTTTCAATGAACATGAAAAAAAAAACTATCTACAACTATCTTGAATAAAACAAATCTTCCACCTAAACATTACCAGAAATAAAACTCATTCAAATCAAATAATGACAAACAAAATGCGGAAACAATCGGTCTATTCTTTATTGAACTCTAGCGTAATCCTTTACCAACCCCAAGTCGATCGTGACAGCCCGTGATCCGATTTTTGGTGTTATTTCATAAAGAATTTGCAGAAAAGGAACAAGTCAACTGTATAGTTATCTTGAATTAAAGAACACTCCTTCAAATACAACAAATTTAATAAATTACATAAAAAATTATGATATTCTTTTTTTGGGCAAAAGTCTGGATTTCACATGCGCTTGTTCATAGTTGTACATAACGAGGACATCTGCAGTGCTGTTACGGTGTTTAGAGCGATTTGGACTTCTATTCCCATTATCGTGGGCAGAAGAATAAGAACCACCATATCTCTGGAATAAAACAGGATTATTTCTTAATTTTTTTTTCATTTCATAATTTGGTATCAATTCATATCGGACAGATACGCATAAAATGGAGCTTTATTGAATCAAAGTGTGAATCATATATAAATTGAAGTTGGATACAATTGGACGATATTAATTAGTAATGAACGATATTCAGATATTGCTAATTTTGAAGGGAAAATCCTTTATGCAATACAAGAATCATTTCCCGTTTGTTTTGATGGCGAGGAGATTACATCGTTTATCAAATGGCTATTGTGTCCGGGCATATTGCTTTTGTGTATCCTTGATGGATTTTTGTGGCATTGACTTTCTGAGAAAATTCATAAATACTATTTCAGGGCAAAACAGTCACACAGCTCTACAAAACATTACTTACAAATCGACCATCATTAATTCTGTCACATCGGCAATGGAGTATTTGCGATGTAAACCTATGAAATCCTTTATGCATGAAGCTGTACAATATTGGATTCTGGACGCAGTTGGAATGTCCCAAGAGCAAAGCGAAGGGGTAAATTTGATTCATTATCTTCTGGCTCTCAACATTTAACTCTAAATACGAAAATAAACTTAATAGGAAGTACGGCATCCAGCTGAGTGCAAACAGCACCGAGAGTATGATGAGAAGCCGCGCCAAGCGCCTTCTGTTCACCATGACGCGATCCTCGTAGTGGCCATTAGAAATCGAATTTGAGCGCTGCAGACGATTGTCCTTGCGACAGAGACTGAAGCCTATCATGGAATAAAGCACTATAACTACCACTCCGGGAATAATGTAAATAATGAACAACAGGAAGATGTTATAGATCATCTGGTCTTGTTTCGACGGCCAGGTCTCTATGCAATATTGAATTGACATCTCCTTCAGTTGGAAAGACAGATCCTCGTTCTTAAGTTTCTTGTACATCAGAAGTGGGCACATAGCAATTATCGCTGTCACCCAAGTGACAACCACCGCCTGTTTGACCTTTGCAGTGTTACAGAAGATTCTGGCCTTGAGTGGATGTCTGATAGCTAGATATCTTTCTGCACTCATACAAACGATAGTCAACACACTTCCTTCTACATATACGCCTGTAAAACGAAAAAGATAAGGTTAAGTTTGTTATGAATTTGATCGTTTTGTAATTTGGCATACGCATCTCTGTTTTCCAGGTATGAGAAAACACTTTACATGTATGGATTTTTTATTTTACAATTCAAATACAGTGAAGCCGCGTTAATTCGGACGCCGATAATCCGGCTGCTTCACCTTCCGGACTAAATTTGTTGAAAACGGTATAAATATCTACCACTATAAAAGGTACGTTTCAGTATTCCGGATACTTCATTAATTCGGACTATTTGTTTGGGACCACAAGCGTCCGGATTAATGAGGCTTGAGTGTATTTTTTTCCCCTTGTATAATACCGGTAATACGTTTATAATTCCTTGTTAGAATTTTAAGATTAAGTCGAGAATAAGTATATGCTCTGTACTTTGATTTTCATAAAAGTTAAAAAGTCATCACACAATGAATTAAGACCACAATGTAAGATAATGTGTAATGCTGAAGTAACAAATGCTTTTGAGTTTATGAAACTGCAGGCAAACACTGTAGTTCCCTTTGAACCCTTGGCTCTCCAAATCTACTACATCAATTAAGATTCTGTAATAGAATTACGATCTTTGAAATATTGATATTGTTATGATTTGAGTTAATATAAAATTGTGAGCAGCATTTATTTACCTTGAACGAAATCCATTGCTTTACAAAGAAACTCTCCATACATCCAGGGCGTGTATACATGTCTGCCCACCGTCAATGGTATACACACTAAAGTCACTAAAAAAAAAGATAACAAAAATGGATTTCTTTTATTTGATGGCTTGTTTAGTTTAAGAATGTTTGTATTATTTTGTTTAACTTTCTTTGCCTTTTTAATGTTTGTTTTGATAGGTCACCTGAGTCACTAAGGTGACCTATTTCTATCTGGTTTTGTCCGTCGTAGAGCGTCGTCTGTTAACATTTGAATATTTTCAACATCTCCTGAACTGCAGAACCAATTTCAACCAATTTTCGCACATAGCATCTATGAGTAAAGGGAAAAATTGTGAATTTCATTGTCCCTGTCCCTCTGGGCCCTGAGGAGTGGGACTAAAACCATCAAAATTAATGCAGTCTTTAAAAATCTTTACTCCTGGACATCAAGCATTTGAACTATTGTCGAGATTCTTATAAACATTGATCCTTCTACCAAAATTATGAAATTCATGACCCCAGGGTCAGGAGTTCTGGAGTTAAGGCAAGGCTCTAATGATCATGTAGTGAAAATGCATTCTTAAAAATATTCTCCTCTCCCCCTGTATATTTAGCAGATAAACATTGTACTTATGATGAGCAAGGGCGTCTCTTTCAAAGTAGTGCATTTCACGGCCCCTGATCTTAGGGTGGAGCTCTGTTGATTATATAATGAAAATGCAATGAAAAATCTTAACAAGAGGCCCATCGCTCACTCACCTGAGCACTGTGGCTAGAAAAAATCTACACTTACTAAGGATGCTTACATATTTCTTTGTCTAACTGTGGTTTTTTCCTATCCGTTTGAACGCTTATTATGGTGCCATCCTACCCCCTGGGGTCATGATTTGAATAAATCTGAATTTACACTACCTGGGGATGCTTCCATATAAATATGACCAATCATGGCTTTGCTGTTTTAATTTAAGAAGAAGATTTAAAAAAAAAAATAATCCCTATGTATTCCTATGTATAACTTTGCTCATCCATTGTGACCCCATCCTACCCCCGGGGTCATGATTTGAACAGACTTGAATCTACAATACCTGAGGATACTTCTGAATAGATGATAAGCAATCATGACTTTGCTGTTCTTGAGAAGAAGATTTTTCCTATATATTCCTATGCAAAACTATGATAGTCCATTGTGGCCCCACCCTACCCCCAGGGGTTATGCTTTTAACAAACTTGAATCTACACTACCTATGGATGCTTCCATATAAATATGACCAATCATGACAATGTTGTTTTTGAGAAGAAGATTTTTAGGGATTTTTCCAATGTATTCCTATGTAAAACTTTGATCGTCCATTGTGGCCCTATCCTACCCCTGATTTGAATCTACACTTCCTGCGGATATTTCCATATAAATATGACCAATCATGGTTTTGCTGTTCGAGAGAAGACGATTTTTGAAGATTTTTCCTATATATTCCTATGTAAAACTTTGCTCATCCATTGCCCCCCCCACCCCCCACCCTGTCCCTGGGGGTCGTGATTTGAAGAAACTTGAATCTGCGTTTCCCGAGGATGCTTCCATATTGATATGACCGATCATGACATTGTTGTTCTTGAGAAGATGATTTTTAAAGGTTTTTCCTTTGTATTTCTATGTAAAACTTTGATCGTCCATTGTGGCCCCACCATACTCCCGAGGGTCATGATTTGAACAAATTTGAATTTACTTTACCTGAGGATGATTCCACATTAGTTTCATCTTTCCTGGCCCAGTGGTTCTTGAAAAAAAGAATTTTGAATGATGCCATTAATTTGTCACTAATTTGTAATTATATCCCCTTGGAAGCGGGCGTAGCCCTTCACTTGAACATACTTGAATTCCCTTCACCCAAGGATACTTTTTAACAAATTTGGTTGAAATTGGCCCAGTGGTTCTTGAGAAGTCGAAAATGTAAAAAAAAAAAAAAAAAAAAAAAAAAAAAGTTTACAGACAGACGGACGCCGGACAAAATGTGATCCGAAAAGCCCACTTGAGCCTTCGGCTCAGGTGAGCTAAAAACTTGCATTTTTTTTTTTTGCATTGAATAAACGATAAAGATGTTCTGATATCTTCTTGCGTTAATATACGTTTGAGATATACATATCGGTCTTAATTTACATAGCCAATACACTCTTTGTTAATATAATGACTTAAATTCCATAAATTAACAATAATTATGAATTTATTCCCCACTTTGTGAATGTACATGGCACATTAAAGATAAGTAAATAGGGGGATTGTAAAAAGAAATTACTTAAGGGTGGCGTTATGAATTAATTTCATGTAAGAATTTCTACTTTACAATAATTTATGTAGTGCTAGTGATAGAAGGCTAATGAATGCCCCGGCCAGGGTTCATTAGTAATGCAACATAATGTTTAAGATAAAGGTAAATGAGGTCAAGGTCAAAGGGAAGGTAACGGTAAAAAAAAATTATGACACAGTTGAATAGCTCTCTCTAATTTGTATAAATGTATGAAGTTTGACGGAAATATCTAGAATAGTTTCTTTTAACTGAGTTTTCTGTAAAGTCAAAGGTCATAGGGAAGTAAATTTGGACACAAATGATAAGTACTCAACAGTATGTATCAGTGCATGTGTTTAGATGAAAATAGGTGAAATAGTCAGTTTGAAATTGAGCTAAATGCAAAATGAAGAAAATTCAGATCAAGGTCTTACATTTTGCACACAATTAAATTGTTCTCGCCAATACGTATCAGTAAATGTGTTTAGATAAATATATCTTGAATATTTTTTTTAACTGAACGCAAAATAAAATAGAAAGGTCAAGGTCATAGAAAAGGTCAGGGTAAAAATAATTTGATGCAGTTGAATATCTCTAACCAATACATGTATGTATTAGCATATGAAGTTTGATAAAAATATCTTGAATAGCTTCTTTGAACCTGAACTAACATAAATTTAAGAATAGTAAACAGTCAAGATCATAGAGAAGGGCAAGGTCAAAAAATTTTGATGCAGTTGAATATCTCTCACTATATATATATATATATATATATATATATATATATATATATATATATATATATATATATATATATATCAGCATATGAAGTTTAATAAATGTATCTTGAATAGTTTCTTTGAAATAGAGCTGAAATAAATTTAGCAAAATGTGGTTAACGTCAAAGAGAAGGTGAATAGCTCTCACCAATCAGCATATAAATTTTGATAAATTGATTTTTTTTTTAAACTGAGCTAAACTTACAGTGTGACGGACAAACAGACGGTAGGATGAAATGAGGGAAGGTGAACACGACAAACACTTAACCTATATGCCCAGGCCATATTCATGGAGGGGCATAAAAGCCTTAAACTTCGAAATTGAGACTTATTTACTGTAAATCTCCTTTTCCAGACACAGAAATTTAGGTGTCAGGAATGCTGAAAACTCAACAGCTTATATGAGTTTTACAGTAAGTTTCTAATACATGGTACAGTTCGACATATGTTTAATATATTTCAAACAAACACTGAATTTGTCCAGGTAAGATAATTCTTTAATCGGTATAGTTTGTATCATAGTTTCAATCGGTATAGTTTGTATCATAGTTGGAATATAGGAGAAAGATGAATCTTTAGAGAAAGAGTACGAAATAAAATCCTATGGACTAGTATTTAATATCTAGATTTATTACTCTTTATTATCAGAATTCCTCGGCTTCCGATTAATTTGGGATTAACAAGTTATTTTCTTTTATTTCAAAAAAATATTTAAAAATTCATAATTTAATCATTTATTTGCATCATTCCTAAACTGTCAGTGTATTACATGTACATTTTGTTTGTTTTCCATAATGAAAAGTGCTTTTTTTATTTTGTGAGCAAATCTTTAAAAATGCGTGTTGCATAAAACTATTCATTTTTCAATTGCATGTTTGAAACATGTCAATCGTATTTCAGTAATGAACAATGAGTACACAGATTACTACAAATTTCTGAATTAACTAGTTTTCACTAATAATGGCTTACTCTGCGAATTACTAGTAAATTTAAGATAGATTATGTGTAGATTTTTTTTATTTTTAGAAAAAGATTGAGGATCTTTATTATTAAATATTAATTATTTTAAAATATATTTCATTAAAAAAATCCAGAAAAAAAAACAAATGCAGCAAAATATAGATATTTAGTGACATTGCCTATTGATCAAAAATCCTCTTCAAAAAGTGCTTGATTCTTTTCCTCATTACAGCAGTGCATGCGATTGATGCTTCTGAACCTGTTCGACAATTAAACACTCTGGGAGAAAAATAATGCTTCAATCAGTGCCAAAGCGTTTTATGACGCTCATGATTAATAGAGAGGGTGCTCTCTTTTTTCTAAGCAATCAGAAGAATGAACTCTGTGTCTCTCACTATCTGTGTCAAAGGATTGTATTATCTCTCTCCGACCGTAATCTCAAATTTGTAAAAAAAAAAAAAAAAAAAAAAAAAGAAAAAAAAAATAGTGCGAGATCTTTCTTAAAATCGTAGCACTGACTCTCTTTGATTAGCGATTTCAATGAGAATAAATCAATGAGAAACTTTTGTAGAAGCATAACCAAAAAAAGCAATAAAGAAAATACTTTTCAAAAGCCAATTATCAGTTTGAATACAGCCGCATCTTTTATTAGGTGTTTTTCAAGAGTTCTTTACCATGATTTGGGTCAGTACCCCTCTCTCTCAACCAAAAAAAAAAAAAAACAAAAAAAAAAAACCCTCTAGTAATGATCTCTCAACAATGTTTAAATCTCATTTATATTTATCCCGATTTCCCAAATAAAAATAAGATGTGTTTGTGAAACACTGATGCCTCCGTATGGCAGCTTATGGCGAAGGTTAAAGTTTCTCAAATGCATGTCAAACTCCAAGGTCAAGGTCAAGAGATCAAAGCTGTTGTTACCCAAGGAAAGGATCTATGTCAATGAATATACCTGGGAAATATGAAAGCCCAAGCACCAACCATTCAAATGTAATGGTCAAGGTTAGTATTTTCTAAAAGTGGGTCAAATTCCAAGGTCAAAGTCAAGGGGTTAAAATTAATT